TATGGTCAAAGCAATGGTATTCCCAGTAGTATTGTATAGCTATGAGAGTTGGACCATAAGGAAGGCCGAGTGCTGAAGAATAGATTCTTTTGAATTATGGTGCTGGAGAAGACTCTTGAGAGTCCCTTGGACTGCAAGAAGATCAAATCAGTCAATCCTAAAAGAAATCAACCCTGACTGTTCCCTGGAAGGTCAGATACTGAAGCTGAAGCTCAAATACTTTGGCCACCAAATGAGAAGGGAGCACTCACTGGAGAAGACCCTGATGCTGGGAAAGATTGCTGGTAAAAGAAGAAGGGGGCAGCAAAGGATGAGATGGTTAGACAGTGTTATCGATGTAACAAACATGAAATTAAGTAAACTCCGGAGCACGACGGAAGACAGGAGAGCCTGGCGTGATGTGGACCACTGGGTTATGAAGAGTTGGACTCAACTGTGCGACTGAACAACAACAACAACAATCTGACCAAAACCTTGGACCTCACTGGCTGCCGCTGGGATAAGGTTAAGAAGGATATGATGGGATCAGGCATGGAATCAGGAGGCAGTGGAAAGTGAGATTAGGATAATTCAGAAGCAAGTCTGATGGGAAATTTAACAGAAGGAAAGGAATGCTGTCTGACCAACTGAAATGGCACCAAAACCTTGGACCTCACTGGCTGCCGCTGGGATAAGGTTAAGAAGGGTATGATGGGATCAGGCATGTGGAATCAGGAGGCAGTGGAAAGTGAGATTAGGATAATTCAGAAGCAAGTCTGATGGGAAATTTAACAGAAGGAAAGGAATGCTGTCTGACCAACTGAAATGGAAAAGTATCTAAGGCATGAAGGAAAGTATCAGTCTAAGAGACAACTAGGTAAAAGTTGCAGAAAGTAGTGTGCGCATAATGGTATACGCACATGGGTGCACTTTTCCATGCAACTGGGACAACTGAAAAAAATTGTGAGCTGTGATCATGTGTACAGAGTCCACCAACATATACCTGTACGTACAACATATATTTCACTGAACACATGGGAGTGTGACCCCTTTTCCCACTGTACCATTTAGTATATGTAGAGCTGAATATATGAACAGGGTTTACAATCTAGAGTGAAAGAGGGAAAACTTGAAAGCCAAGGCTGATACAAAGGTTGACAATGAGTGCCTGAATGGACTCAAGAAAAGGAGAATGAAATTATCATGGAAACAGAAGAGAAAGATGCAGTTAGCACAGGCATTCTGAATTGACTGGAAAGACAGTAGAAGGGGAGGCAAGCAAGAAGGAAGGCTACTGGAGCATGGTCCAAGGTTAGAAATAAAGTGCGGAGAAAGGAATGTTCAATGCCTAACAATGCAATCCTGAGTAGAGTTAACTCCAGTCTAAGCCTACTGAAATAAAATAGTTAAACTGGCATAACTCTGCATGGGATGCCACTGTAAAACTCCTTTTGGAAATATGTAATTAAGAACTGAATAGCAGCTTGTTCAGCTAAAGATAAACCAATTAAAATCAGCTGGGCTTTACACAGCATAGATGAGTGCAAGCTTTCAAGATGGAAAACTACATTTCAAATGGAACATCAATAGCTGTCTTTTGCTATAACAACAAAGTTATTTTCATGCTGAAATATCAAAACAAGTTGATTTTGCTTGTTCAAACCCAGCCACGCTAAAATTTGGAGATGTGAAATTGCTAATTCACTATTGGATAGGTTTTGATGCTTTTTTGTGGGATGCACGTTTGCTGGACAATGCGTCTTTTCCTTAAGGAAACAACATAACAACAAACAACCCCTCTCTGCTTCTGCAAATTAAAAAGAAAAAAATGAATTTCACATTTCCATATGTTGAGCTGGTTAATGTATTCCCCCCATCTGAAAGTAGCCAAACCACTAAAAATGTGAGTTTTCAATTCCGTTTTCCCCCACTGGCCCCTTTGATTTGTAGCTTAATCTACAGCCTTAATTGATTTCCATTAGTTGTTTATATGCAAACAAGTGTTTGGGGGCATTTTAGAGCCAGATATATAGCACCCTGCCTTATCAACAACTTGCAATTTAAGCTATAGGAATTATTTAAACTCTCCAATACAATTACCTTAAAAAGGCTATCACTGTGTTCACCATTAAGTTTCTCATTAAACTTTTCAAGGAAATGAATTGTTTATAGCACATTTGCTATTTTATAGCACAGTTAATGTCACTCGTGGTTGAAGGGGACTTACAGCAACATTAATAAGACACAGTGTATAAACAAGGCACACTTTCTGGATGGACTGACATAACATAGTCTCAGCATTAGTTATGGTCACTTACAATCAGACTGTAGACATCCCTAATTTTACTCACGCAGCAGTTAATGGGCTTCCCACAACAAGAAAATGATTGTTGTCTCCCAACCATAACAGACTGCTGAAGGCTGGTATTTACCAGCACACCTGAGTTTTTTAAAAGGTAAGTTCACAGAGAATAGGTTTATCAGAGGCTTACAGTTATGACAGTTATCCATACCCACATACCACTGTTCATTAAACAACTACAACTACATGATAGTGAACTTTTGGCATCTTAAGACACCAAGGCTCTCAAACCAGGGACTCTAGCAACAGGGTTCAAGAACCTCAATACCCAGGCCATTGGAGCAGCTTTCAAGTAGAGTGAACTGCTGGCCTGGAGTCTGAACCATTATAGTGCTTCCACTGGAGATGAGTGGTATTGTATTTACCAGAACAATAGGAGTGGGATGTTGTAAGGAGTGGGCAGGGAGATGTACAGACCTAGGAGGATTGTAATTGCTGCCTTCAGTTAATTAAGCTGTTCATGACTTTCTTTTGTGGTTTGACTACTTGTTTGCATTTGAGCTACATAATAGATTATAGGTACTCAAAACTGTTGAGTCTGTGGGCACTTTTGGAATTCTAAGAAAAGATAGTGGGCACCACCATAAAATGGCTGCCATTTGGATGGGGCAGTCACAAAATGGTGGGATGTTCCAAGCCAAATATCCCCCTATGATGAACACAATGGTTTCAGAATGAGCATTGCTTTGAATTAGGTTGCATTATCTTTGCGGGTTGCTATTTGTTTTCCCACCTTCTCAAACATATTGGGAAATGTTAAAGGTGTGTCTTTAGGTTCTTACTCACCTGCACCACCACCAACGCTAAGAATATTGATTGCAGATTTTCCATTACCGATACTAAGGAAGGATAGGTACATATTTTAGAATAGTCAAGGAGCATTTAAAAAGGCACATTAACTGCTCGAAACTATCACATATTCATTCTAGTAAAACTGAACAACTTGTAAAATGACCCACAAACAAGTAAACCCTTAAGCAAAATCAGGCTTTCCAATATTGTGACTAATTCTATGATCAATAAACAAAACCCTGATGGGACTATGCAAATGAAGAGGAGGAACTATGCAGATCAAAGCAGACTTGGCTCCTACTAGTTGGGTCGACAATGGCAGGTCCCTAACTTGGTGATGTTCTTCCTCTTTTCTCATATAAGTGAATGGTTGCCATTCACTACTATAGGGTACCAATGAAAACCATTGCAAGGGTAAAAGCATCTCTTCAAATCTGCTGTGGAGAGGGATGCTTCAGATGGGTACAATTGCTTCTGTGCACTGAGCCCACTGAAATGCACAGCAACTTCTGGAAGTCCTTACAGTATACAAAACATCCCTCTATGCACACCCCATCCATCATAATGACGGGCAATTTACTAGTTAATAATAAACAGCAAATGTATGCAGCAGCTGACACACCTGTCAAGATAATCAGCAAACACAGTATGCTCACACACACACACACACCCCGCAAAGGGCTTTATTACTGAGGTCAATTTTCTATTCACACTTCTAACATGATTATTTCTTCTCCTTTCATATTCTAAATGCTACCTAACAACTAGTGGAAGGAAAGAATATTTCAACGGAAAGGCAGAATGAAGTTATTTCCTCTTTATACTCGGGGCAAACATTAGTAAGTTATTTTATTTTTATAGTCTGCTTTTCTCACACAGACTGAAGGTGGATTGCAGGTCATGACTATTCACTTGCATTCACCCTGTAGTGTAAGCTACTAGGGTCTTCGTAAACTTTAGGATTTCTGCAATCTGTCTTGGACTACTAAACCAGGCATATTGCCCAACATTCAGTAAGTCTCAAGGCTTACCTGGCAATCGTATGCAGAAATACTCCATTCTAAACCCATTTAAATCAATGAGCAGCCTCAACTAACTCTGTATAGGATTGCACTGTTAACTGGTAAACTGCATTAGCTTCATGCAAATTGTGCAGGCATGCAATCAAAGCCTATCAGTACAGCAAACAGGAGTCAGTACTGTCCAGATTTGTTTACACAACTATGCCAAGTTTGCACCCCAAAAAAATTTCAATACACTTCATCACGAGTATGGAACCAGCTGAGTTGCTCAATGGACCGGTCAAGTAATTGCTACATCCAACAGCCAGCTGCAATGCACAACCAACTTTCCATCTGTCAATGGCCAATATTTGAATGTGTAGATAGGCCCTAAATTCAGCTGGTGTTTGATCTTCAGTCTCTTAGGCCCTGCTGTCCAATGGGTTGCTCTTCCTCACATACATTAATAACAAAGTGCATTTGTTTTTAATGAAAGGGAAAGAATCCCATAAATATACAGGAATGTTTCAGGCAGAAGATAAAGTCAGTTTTTAAAAGCTCAGTATAAAACTGGAATAATTTAAAATCATATAGTTCCTTTTATGGTTGTATGTGCAAGTATTTCTTCAGCTCAAGCTCTATTTACATGTGAAAGAAATCTTTAGCTTCTGCCACACAGACATTGTCACAAAGAAAAGCTTTTCCCTGGATGGTTTGAGTGAAATCGCTAATTAAAGAGGTATCAAAGATGTGGAGAAGAAAGGGAAAAAAATAGGAAAGAAATGACAACCTATAACTCTTCAGTAGTCCTTACAAAGCTAACCTACATGCACACATACATCAGAAATGCCAGAGAGTATCAAAGGCTTGTCCTTCTGATGCAGTCTCTCGTGCCTTTACCTTGATATTATGCCTGGCAGCTTCTTCTCGATGAATTCCAGCATACACTGATGCTCCGTCGAATTCTCGAGGAACAGGCGAAAAGATTCCACATAACGGCTGTGGTCAGACAGCAAGCTTCTCATGGAAGAAGTCATGGCTGCTTCCCAGACCACTTTGAAAAAGATATAAAATAATAATAGAAAAGTGTTCTTTTGAGAAAACAAATGCCAAGGTACAGAAGAGTATCGGAAACTCTCTTGTGTCATCAAAGACTGCTTAGTCACGTATAGGCATTCAGGCTGTTGCAGTATTAAGCACACTAGCATAATGCGAAGTCACCTGAGGAAGCAGCATATCAGTATTTTTTAATCAGATGTTGTACTGAGACCTTGACCACAGGAAAGGTTACTTTTCAGCTGAAAGAAAACTGTGCAGTTTGCTTCCTTTGCAAGCAGAAGCCTTGAATGTGAGAGCAGTGTGATTTATGTCAGTACCAATGTTCCCTCTAAGCTGTAGAGTCTCGTGAGCAAAAATTCTACTTTGTGAGCTACTGGCATTAAAGTTGTGAGCAAGCCATTTGGCTCCTGCATTTATTAGTTAGCTCTGGAGCCATCCTTCCTGAGCTGAGACAAAAATGTGTGAGCTGGAGGATAAAAAACTGTGAGCTACCTCACTCTAACTCAGCTTAGAGGGAACACTGGTCAGTACCAAATTATGAGACTCTTACTGACCTCCAAAAGTGAAATCTAGTACATGCTTGATGCTTAGCTGGAATTTTGCCTGTAATTTTGCTTCTTCTTCTTTTTGAAGATTGGGGCTCTAAAAAAATTCTTCCATTAGATTAAAAAAATAGGGCTTTCTCTATTAAAACTCTGGTATGTTTTAAAATTAAGTATTTTTAAAATTAAGTGTTTTTCTTTCTCACCTTGACACAGAAAGTACTCCATCTTTCTGTGTTATACCTCTGAGGATGCCAGTCACAGCTACTGGCAAAACGTCAGGTTCTACAATGCCAAGACCACAGCCACACAACCCGGAAAATCTACAGCAACTATTTACTCTGTGTTTAGAATTATGTTTATATGCAGAATTTAGCTAAACTGGAGGTAAACACTTGAGTGGTTAGTCCAAATCAAACAGTGAAATTCAGTCAGAATCCTTATCAACTATTCTCCAACTTTCAGTCCTTGGATCCTGTCCCTCAGCTCTATTGGTACAAATCTGCTTACAGGGATGGGCGCAAACCGAGAAAATGCAGTTTGGTTCATGGTGTGCCTGGTTCACAAACCATGAACCATCATGAACTTTTAGGGGCTAAACCAACTGGTTCAGTTCAAACTGAAGGGGGGGCATTTTGACAAGCCCAATAGAACAAGTGCAATGTATTAGTGCCCAGCAGACCCCATTGCCATTGTGGCAATGCCAGCTCAACAGGACTGATGTCTAGCACAGAATCACACTCCAAGCAACGGAGGAATTTCAAGCCCAGCAGGAACAGTGCAATGTACTAGTGAGAAGCAGAACCCAGTACAAATGTGGCAGTGCCAGCTCAATCACAATTCAAGTGGGGGGGCATTTTTACAAGCACAGCAGAACCAGGAGAATGTACAGAGTGGCCAGCAATACCAGTGCAATCACAGAGTGCCCAGCAGAACTCTGTGTCAGTGTGGCAATGACAGCTGAACAGGACTGATGTGAAACACAGACTCACACTCCATATGGGGGGGGTGTAAGCCCAGCAGAAGGGATATAATAAAAGGAATGGCAGGATTGCTTTTGGAAGCAATGGTAGAGGCTTGAAGCCCTGAATGCCGATTGACTTGCATGGGCTCTATTAAAATACATTACAACATAAAATAGTTGCAATGAAATTGTGGAGTGGATTTTCAACTAACGTCTCTGGGCCCAGATAAACTGCTCTGGGACTGGAATAACAGGTCCCAGAGTGGAATGACGGTACCCTGAAATAGAATGGAGTGCTCTAGGACTGAAATGACAGCCTCCAAGTAGAATGACAGCCCCTGGGAATGGCAGAAGCGCTCTGAGAGTGGAATTACAGCCCCCAGATGGGAATGACAACCCCTGGGACTAGTAGAAGTGTCCTGGGACTAAAACAAAAGCCTCCAGAGTGGAATAGGGTCCCTGAGAATAGGAGAAGTTCTTCTGGCTCTGGAATGACAGGTCACAGAGTGCAGTGACGGCCCCTAGGAGTAGCAGAAGTGTTCTGGAGCTGGAATGACACCCCCAGAGTTCTGGGAGTGGAATGAGAAGCTGTCAATTATCTTCGGGAGCTGCCACTCTAGTCCCAGGACATTTCTGCTATGATCCACAGGCCATTGATCTATTCTGAGGGCTGCCATTCTAGCTCAAGAACACTTCTGCTACTCCCAGGGGCCATAATTCCACTCTGCAACCTGTCATTCCAATGCCAGTAGACTTCCACTATAAGGGGACCCCATTTTACCCTGAGGGCTTTCATTCTATTCCCAAGCCACTTCTGCTATGCTATGTGCACAGGCTGCCAATCCACTCTGGGGGCTGTCATTCCAGTTCCAGAAAACTTTTGCTACTCCCAGGGGCTGTCATTATACTCTGTAACATGTCATTCTTGTCCCAAAACAGTCCTACTATTCCCAGTGACTGTCATTCTATGCTGCAAGCTTTCATTCTAGCCCCAGGACTAGAATGCTATGACTCATGGGCCATCAATCCACTCTGAGGGCTTTCATTCCAACTCCAGAACACTTCTGCTACTCCCAGGAGTTGTCATTCCACTCTGTGGGCTGTCATTCCAGCCCCTGAACACTTCTGCTATTCCCAGGGGCTGCCATTCCAGTTTGGGGGCTGTCGTTCCAGCTCCAGAACACTTCTGCTACACCCAGGGGCTGTCATTCCACTCTGTAACCCATCATTCCTGTCCCAAATGTTCTGCTCCCAGTTGCTGTCATTCCACTCTAGGGATGTCATTTCAGTCCCAGAACACTTCAGCTACTCCCAGGAGCAGTCATTCTAGTTGGGTGGCATTTCAGTCCCAGAACACTTCTGCTACTCCCAGGGGCTGTCATTTCACTATGGGGGATATCATTCTACTCCCAGAACACTTCTGCCATTCCCGGGGGGCTGTCATTCTACTTGGGGGCTGTCATTCCAGTTCCACTTATCTAGACAGTTTTGCCAATTGCTATGTCACCTCTCCAGAGAAATTGTTTTCTTCCAGAGAACTTTATTCCATTATCTTTAATGGGTCTTCAAGCCTCTTCCATTGTTTCCAGTGTGTAGTCCTTTCATTTCTTTTAGTACATCCCCCAGCAGAATCAGTGCAATATACTAGTGCCCAGCAGAACCCAGTGCCAGCGTGGCAATACCAGCTCCACAGGACTGATGTGAAGCACAGAGTCATGCTCCAAGCATGGGAGTTGGGGTTGCAAGCCCAGCAGAACCAGTGCAATGTACTAGTGCCCAGCAGAACCCAGTCACATTGTAGCAACACAAGCAAAAAGGAGGAGAATCCCTGCAGAATGCCCAGCAGAACTCAGTGCCACTGGCATTGCAAGTTTAAAAGGACTTCTCTTGAAGCACAGAGTCACAACAAATCCAGGCAAGGGGTGGGATTTTTCGAGTTCTGTGCAAGAAAATGGGAAGGGGACACAGGAAGGCCGGCAAGGAGGGGCACTTGAAACTGGCATGATTCATTTGAAACTGGCCAGAGTGTTTCCAAGGCTGGAGAATTCCCCCTCCCCCCCCCACTTGCTTTGTAGTTTAGTAAATGTTTTGATTGAGCAGAGACAGTCTATCTGGAATGGTATCCATTCATGAACCCCCACAAACCTCCACAAACAGTTTAAAAGTTCATGGAAAGTTTGTGCTCATCCCTATCTGCTTGTACCAGCAGAAGAGACTCTGCAGGTGCAAGACAAGGTGGGGCAATTTCGCCTCTTTCTCCTCCTCCCTGCAGCCACCCATCCTATGTACCTTTTTGCCTAAAGAGTTTCCCAGTATTGCTCTTTCACTGCTTACAGGTAACTGCTGGAGAAAAGGAGAGGTGGGAAAATTCCACCTCTCTCTGTACCTTCTGCAAGCCCTTTTAATCTCTCTTTGAACATTCCCAGTTCACCTTCTGATTGGCTGTTATATTGCTTTAAGTGATAAAAAAATGCCTTGTCCTAAGAATTGCGGGTCATACATCCTATGCATTCACAGGCATGTCCCTTCTTTAATCTGTGAAATGCTGGAGGTTATGCAAGGACATCTGCATTGAGAAACGTAGCATACGAATCAGCAGTACACAGATTAGGCAGCATTTCCTTGAAGGCACAAGCACTTTCTCCTGTTCCCTGATCACTGAAATCAATATTGTTCTGTCTGTGTACTGCCCAGTTTTGATTTCATTGTGTGCCACAACATGGTTTGGGACTGCTCACAAGAAGAAAGAATTACCTGTGTTTATCTAAATATCATTGGAGAGCACAAAAGTTGGCATCAAGTTGAAAATTCATTTCTTGTATGTGAGTCCACTGTATGTTTAAGTTGTGCTAATTTAACCCCAATTAGTTAAAATATTTTTTCCTTTACAGAAACAAGATTGCCTCCTTAAAAGAAATGTAATGAATTACATACTATCTTTGACTGATCTAGTGTGCTGAGGAAATTGTTCAGACTGGACCAATCTCTAACACTGGTCTCATACTATTCTACAGAGCACAGGTTTTTGAAGACTGGGACCACGCCTGAGCTAGGAAGGAGTGGGCAGGAATCTCCAGGCTAGGTGGAATGGCTGTGGATAGCCTCATTTACCCAATGATTCAGTTTCCAAAAGAATTTTCCTTCAGGTGAACTGCCCTGACTGAGAATAATTTGGACATGCATAATCTCTTTGTAATGCTTTGCCACAGCTGCCACCTGCCAAAAGCTATTTTGTGTCCAAAGGATATGGATATATAGATCCATGTACCAAACAGGTTATGTCTCCATTAAGGATGAGCGCCCCCTTTTTTTGGGGGGGAGGCTGTATTCCCCCAAAGCATGTACCTCTGTGGCTAGGAAAGCTTTGGTCAATTTCATTTTGGGTTCCTAGACTGAATTACCATGAAAGTTGCCAAAACACATACATGACTCCGAGGTAAGTAGTGTTGCATATATTCACACAACAGGTATCTCCACTTCCTGCCATCT